GAGAGAGAGAGAGAGAGAGAGAGAGAGAGAGAGATTTCAGAGTTAGGCTACCTCGAAAACACTTCCTCATCTAGGTAATGAGGGTCTTTGTGACAGTGACAGGACATGTGGACAGCATTTCCTCTGCTGTTTTTTGATTACTTGGCTTTTCTTTTTTTTAATAGCGGAGTCTTTCTATAGCCTAGGTGAACTTAAGACTATACTCTTCCTATCTCAGCCTTCTGAGTCCTGAGGGTTTCAGACATGTGCTATTACATCTGGTGATAGTATATATTCTTTTTTGTGTGCTGGTGTTTTGAGACAAGTTTCCGCTATATAATCAAGTTGACTGTGACCTCGTTATGCATCCCAGGCTGACCTCCAACTCACTGTGATCCTTCAGCCTCAGCTTCTCAGGTTGCTGGGACTGCAAACATGTGCCACCATGCCTGGCTGACAGTGTGTACTCTTGATAGTGACACCCTATGGTGTTTGTCCTTCAAATGCCAGGGCCCAGCCTGTATCACCATGTTAAGAGACTATGCTTAATTAAGTGGCAGTCTTCAAAAGATGTGACCAGTATGCTGTAAAACTCACAAGGCCATAAAAAAGGGAGGACAGCTTGAAAAATAGTCACAGGCTAGAGGAGCCCAAAGGACAGGACAACTCAATGTAAGGTCATATTATAATGGTATATTGTAACATAAAAATAATAATTAGATTAAATACTAACAAATAAGGTATGGACTGATAAAAACACACTAGAATGCATCCATTAACTGGGATGTGGCACATTACTGTGTGTTGTCAATATTTGGAAAAAGTGGATTTAAACTATCTGGAAATTTTTTACTACCCTTGAAAATTTTCTTCTATAAGTCTAACACTATTTTAAAAATGTATAAATAAATAAATAAATAAATAAATAAATAAATACATAAATAAATACATAAATATGAGATAATGCCATAAAAATTGTTTGGCAAGTAGTTCATATTAAATTATTATAAATGATAACTGGATTGAGTTTTTATTCAAGCCAATTGCCCACAAGGAGAGCATTCAGAGAAAAGCCCTCCTAAGGCCTGTCTCTACAGAGACTGAAATTCCAAGGGCACGGGTGGTAGCTGGTGCCAAGGTTTCAGAGAAGGCTGAGCATTATTCATCAAGAGACAGAAAAAGACACTCCCCTTCTGAAAGGGCAGAAGGAAACAATAATGACCATTTATTGAGTCCTGAACTATAGGCAAATGCTTCATCTAACTCTGAGTGCTCTGTCTCATGGAATCTAACAACTCTAAAGGGGGTAGAGGAGGAGCAGATACGCCTTTGTCCCCATAGAAGCTGAGGCTCAGAGATTTTAATAACCTACCTACCAGGTATGGTTTTTGAGTGTGAGTGTGAGTGTGCGTGTGTGTGTGTGTGTGTGTGTGTGTGTCTGTGTAGAGGGAGAGAGAGGGAGAGAGAGAAAAGAAGGAGGAGGAGGAGGGAGAGGAGAAGGAAGAAGAGGAAGAAGAGGAGGAGAAAGAGGAGGAGGAGAAAAGAGTTGATGCTAAGAGGGCTTCCCTCTGTCCGGAGACCATGAGTGAGTGCTTAACAATGCCGTTGTTCCAGCCTTCCTCCTTCCCCTCCTCTCTGCAGTTTGAACCCAGGGTCTTGTTCATGCTAGGTAAGTGCTTTAGCACTGAACTGTAGTATTAGCTTTTTGCCTAGCAGCATTCTTAACTCCTGAAATCTGTAGAGCTAGCATAGGAGAAGGATTAAGTTTTCTTAATTAATTAACTAATTAATTAATAAATTATTTTACTGGATATGAGAGTTTTTCCTAAATGTATATGTGAATCATGTGAATGTCTGATGCCCATTGGAGGCCAGAAGAGGGCATCAGATCCCCTGGGACTGGAGTTAGCAGTTGGTTGTGAACCACCATGTGAATGCTAGGAACTGAACCTGGGTCCTTTGCAGTAGGCAACATGTACTCTTAACTGTGGAGCTATCGTTCCAGCCCCTGGGAATTAGTTTTTGGATTGGGGGAATTGGTAGAGGAGACAGAAACAGAAACGTTGTTGAAATGAAAGATCACAGGATATTGGAAGTCTAGGTAGAGAGAAAGAATAAATTCTGGTGTTTCACAATACACAAGGGTGACTACAATTCACAACACCTTATACTGGTAGATTTCGTTTAAAAGATACAGAAGTGCAGGATTTGTGAGCTTCAAACACAAAGAAATGGTAACCGTTCAAGGAGGAGATAGTAAGTACCTGGATTTGATTGTTACAGAAGATGTACGTGTGTCAAACAGGCATAATCACATTACATTCTATAAAAATGTACACACAGATGAAAATGCAAAAAGAGGTATCAGAAAGACGTGGCTTCTAAAGGCCCATGAGAATTTTTGGCAGGTTTGCTGAGACCTCTGGGGTCAGGACAAAGGAGTGGGTGGGGCTTCTTCTTATTGGATAACATTATTAGCATCATTCCTCCCTGTCAATCCCTTTCCGCTGTGCTACCTACTCTCACCCACTCAAACGCCCTGTTGGCTGCCTCAATCTGGGCCACTTCCTCAGGGAAACAGGATGTCTTTTGCATGCTGGAGCCAGGTCCCCGGGGGTTTGGGGTGGGAAGAGACTGTCTAATGGGTGAACCCTGAGCTAGGCACCAGAGAGGAAGCCACATTTCCGGGACTTGAGGAAGCTGCCATTTCCTCCTCTAGCAGGAAGTGGCCTTGGCTATTCTCAGCACCAAGGCTTTGGGCCCATGGAGCAATGGAAATCACAGCCTGGCTGGCTCTGGCTTGCCTCCTGCAGTTTAACAATCTACCAGTCAAAATAAACGGTTTCTTTAGGTCTCCCGGGCATGGTTAAGGTAATAATTGAGAGAGAGAGAGAGAAGCCAGAGGCCCGCTTCAGCACAAAGGTACCGAGAATCTTTTAAAATGCCAGGCTGGTCTTGGCTGCTGGGGCCTCACTAAACTGCATAATTGAGGCATTGAGAAGACAAACAAACCTGGAGGTTCTGTGATGGTTTCTCAAATACCCAGTTGATTTGGAGAATAGAATTGTCGGTACTTTATAAATACACGGGTAAGTTCTGGGGAAGCTGCATTGTTCTGTAAGCTGGAAACCGGAGAAGGAGGGAGAGGGACCCGAGGTCAGATACAGACTCCACCAGACAGCTAATTTTGAAAAGCTTACAATAGTGTAAACTCCATTTCCCTGCTGATGAAATGACCCCACTTACCTGGGAGTTTCTCAGAGTCAGAGAGGTCCTGCCTCTCCTTTTACTTCTCATGTCTACTGTTTCCAGAGCCTGTGAGAGTCAATCTCCCCTTCCCTCTTCCAGCGCCCATTTACAGCCTGGAAGTGGTCACCCAGGAGACTGAGCATAGTTACCCTCTGCTAACCAACATGGACCCACAAACAAACACAGTTGATTCTTCTGTTTTGATAAGGACAGTCAAGGAAATAACTGTGTGCTGGTCAGAAAGCTGCTTGTGGGAGAGGGGAATGAGTCTGCCTGAGGGAGTCAGCCTGCTGCTGAGGCTGCAGTTTAATGTTCCTTTGCTAAGGTGGATACTGAGTCACCCAAATATGGGACGTGTCTCTTAAGTGTGTGTGTACGTGTGTGCGCACGAGTGTGTGCGTGCATGTGTGTGTGCGTGCGTGTGTGTACGTGTACCAGAATGCAGTGCCCACTGAGGCCAGAAGAGGATGTTTGATCACTTGGAGCTGGGGCATCAAATTGCGGTCCTCTGCAAGGACAGTGCAGAACCATCTCTCCAACCCCATGGGATACTCGACAGAAGATGAGACAAAGGCCTCGGTCTCATGGAGAGCTCATATTTTGGAGAAGGAAGTAGTGAAAAATGAAATGTAAAAAAATCACTTTGCAGAGAAGTAAGGCAAATTTGGCTAGAGAGTGGAGTAACTCGGGATCAGGTAGCAGACAGGGTGATGGGAAGAGCTGCAGGCAGTACTGAGGTTATGGCCAAAAGCACAGAAGGAATGAAATGTTCTTTTGACCCTCGTGGGGATCCTCCCTATTCAAATCACGAATAGCTTGAAGGCCCTCTCAGATTAAGTGGAAAATTCCAACTTGGTATCCAGGCTTGTTCCTGGGAAGGCTCATAAAGTTCTCCACCTTGGCCCTTTCTGGCCTCTGTTCTTGGAAGCCTGGGTGTCAGGCCTACTAAAGCCTCGTGGTTAGACCTTCTAGCCTTTCCCTGATGATGGGAAGCTGCCTGTGTAAGAAAGCTGGTGTCTAGGAAAACACAGCTCATGTGCAGAGGTGGCTCTAGAAGAAAAAGCAAGGGAGACTCTAGGGCCCTCCTGCCTTGAGGAAACAGGTAACACCCTAGAGGGAGGCCTGGTTACTTGTTCAACACAAAAAAAACTCAGAATGCCCTCTGCGTGCTAGGGTGATGTTTAGCAGGGGCTAGCACTACCAGGGCCAATGAAAACCCAGCCCTGGACCTGAGCACTCCCTGATCTTAGAGTTTAGCGGGCATTTAATAGCAAGGTAGGCGTCTGGATGCCATTCCAAGAGCTCTAGGAGGCATTTGAGTCACCCAGAAGGCCCTTTGTGATGAGGTACAGCAAACTTTGCCCACGCCAGCTTGTGCAGTAAAGAGTTTATGAGCTCCCTATAACTAGATTCAAAGATGGGGAGGCTTCTGATGTTGCACCCTTGAGGGCTCCTGCAGTGAGCCAAGGATCCTCTTGCCTCCACCCTCCTGCAGACAGACACATTCCACCCCTCATCCCAGTTTATCTCCAGATCATAACATGGATGCCAACAGGCATGGAGGCCATGTTTTCTCACTCACTTGGTCATGTGAATGAGAGCAAGAACATCCTCCTCCTCCACTGTCAAGCTGGGGCCCATCTGAGGGCCTCTCTTTACATCCACCTAAGCTCAGTGACCAAGAGCATGCAAAAATCTGAATGCCAACCCCCATAACAGAGCCAAGGCTATCAGTGGAATCTGTGAACTTGGCTCACTTCCAGAGGTGGTGATAGGCCTGACAGCAACTGGGAGGATGGACACTGGGAAGCATCAATAATACCCGCTGCAGGTAAAGGATAGATATGACTGGGATTACATACTTAAGGAGACTGCATAGAGAGACGATTGAATGAGGCATACAAGGAGGACTCTTTAGTTACTCAGGGAAAGGCAGTAGTGGCTGAGCTGCAGGGTAAGGTTAAGGATCCTGGATAACAAAACAAAAAGGGTGAGATGCAAACCCATCTCTGATGTCCGCTCCCTGACCAGCAGTGGCAGTCCTTCGACTTCTCTGTGGATGGTTTTGGAAATTGGAAATTGGTGGTAGAAATCCTTCTTTTTAAAAAAAGTACAGGATAGAGAGGATCGAGTTTAATTGGGGCATAGAGAGGGGAGTTGAGAGGGTAATACACGCAGAGAAAGGCAGAGAGAGAGAGAGAGAGAGAGAGAGAGAGAGAGAGAGAGAGA